AACAACAGGGAGTGCAGATAGAATTGAGGCTGTAACAGTGTTCTCAGCATCTCGACTGTCCTCAGCAGCATGCCTTGCAACCAGTCCGCCATGAAGTGGGTGGTCATTGTGTGTCCTCTGGGACCTTCCTGCTCTTGCCTCCCACCCCCTGAGGTGGATGGTTGCCCCATTTTCTCACCAGAGACAGCAGTCTACATGATGCTGTGGTTGCCATGCCTCAGGTTGCAGGAGAACTGTGATTCCTGTCCAGGAAGAATCCGAATGGACACCCAGGGCTGGTAGGTCCCGTCCCCACTGGGCAGGATTGTTTTAGGTCCAAAGGTTTTCTGCTATACTGGCCTTCCATCCTGAAGCCAGACAAGGGTGGCCATGCAGGGATACAGATTAAAAGCCTGGCATGTCAGTGTGATCCTGCCCACTGGATAATTCCTGAAGGTCACAATCACCATTGGGGAACCTGGGAGAAGATGAGAAAGAGCTGGTGAATGGTGGGATGCAGAGAGCAGAAACTACACAACCATGTGGTGTACATGTGCCTCTGCCCCTACCCCTACCCCTAGGTGAAGTGCCCAGTGGTAAGTGCTGGGGTGTACAGCACACAGATTCAGTGATGCCTGATAACCAGAAATACATTCCAGTACATGAGGATGTAACTTTATTGGGACAGTAAGCTTTTCTAAACAAATGGCTGACAATCTGACTTTGTACCACAAAGCTGGTATCACATACTCCAGAAGACAGAGAGGTGCTGCCAGACCATGGCTCTAATTCTTTGCCTCTTGGCTTGACTCTTAATCTTGCTCATGAGGACTTTTGACTGGTTAACAGCATCTTCATTGCCTACCCTATCCCCATTTCAAGGGGATCTCTTTCTTTCTTTCTTTCTTTCTTTCTTTCTTTCTTTCTTTCTTTCTTTCTTTCTTTCTTTCTTTCTTTCTTCTTCTTCTTCTTCTTCTTCTTCTTCTTCTTCTTCTTCTTCTTCTTCTTCTTCTTCTTCTTTTTTTTAATCATGACACTTAGCCAGGAACAATTTTGACTGTCACCTCAAAGGGGCCTTGGAGAGCTGTGCAAACCTCCAAGCATTCAAGAGGCGAATGCAGGACCTTGAGTTTGAAGCCATCCTTGGCTATGTAGCCTTGTCTCAAAAACAGAAAACAGCCTTCCTCAAACAAAGCTCACATATGTGAACTTTGAAGAGTGAAACCAAATGTAGATTACTCTGAGCCATGTCCTGGCTCCGAAGTTCCAGCTGTACAGGGCTATAGACGCTGGACATGTGATGTCTGCCAGGAGAGAGAGGAACACTCACTTGAAAAATGGGGAACTTCCTGTGGAGTTTGGAGGAGGAGGACTTGACAGTTTGATCCAGTGTCCTTGTCAGTATTAACTTTCACTTTGACCCACCCCAAAGTCACCTGGGGGAAATGTCTACATTGAATAATTTCCTTATCAGTCCTGCCTGTGGACATGTCTGTAAGGGCTTGTCCTAACTGATGCAGGCCCAGGCCACTCTGGGCAGCACCATCCATAGGCAGATGGTCCTTGGTTGTATAAGAGAGCCAGCTAAGCATGAGCCAAGAATGAGCCATCAAATGAGCCATCAAATGAGCCAGCAAGCAGCATGTTTTATGCCTTGACTTCCTTCAGTGCTATACTATGGCCCAGACCTGGACAGGAAATACATGCTCTGCTCTCCTGAACTGCTTCTGTTCAGGGTATTTTTATCACACTAGGAGAAAGAGACCTAGAGCAGTGTACAGGGAAGATCGGTTGATACACCTGTTTGGATCTCTATTTGGTTCCCTGTCCTCAGTAGAAGACCCCTCAGTATCCATTGGGCCAAGAGAAGGAGGAATTGAGACACCAGACATGGGCCAGTGAGTAAGGTGTACCCCCTTTCCATTACTGTCCTTTGAGTCTGAGGAGAAATGTACTATGCCTTTCCACTGACATTTTGTGAGAACAAGGCTCCTCCCGAGGGTGCCCATCCTTGGATGCACTCTTTATCCAACTTTACTCCAGAACTTCTTGATGATTTATGACCTCAGGGAGTAAGTCTAACTAATCCTCTCCTGCAGGCAAATAGTAACAGACGCTGCTGATCTGGTCAGCTGCCCTGCTCTAGTGTCAGGGCCTTGTTCATATTAAAGCTTACCTTGTAGACACTGCAACATTTGTTCCCCAAGAGTGCTGTCACTGGGAAACAAAGACACAGGGAACACAGTGGACTCATGAGTCTCACACAGGCCACAGGTGACAAATGTGAAGCACAAGCTCTCTGTCTGCAGCCACTTATCCAGTGTCTTCACCCTAGAGGCCTTCTCTGGTGTCTGTAGACCGGGGAGGAGCTGATGTTAATCTTGGTCATCAGATGCTTAAGGGAACATCTTGTCTAGGTATCGAAAACAAATGGACAGTTAGATCTGACTATAGAACTTACCTACATGTCTCTGAGGTATTTCCAAAGAATCCCAGAACTACTGAGCCTGTGTACTAGACAGGAAGTCATGTGTTTTCTCCTGTGCAGGTTTCAGTCAGCACTCAGACAATTGTTTTCCTGAGCCAGGACCTTTCCTAGGAGACTGCTTTCCATCACTGTTCCTACTATCCTGGATCACCCTTCCTAGACCCTGCTCTGTTCCTTGTGTCTAAAGACACCACTCTATCTGGGGAATCTGAAATTCTACTCCCTCCTGGCACTTTTGTTGGGGAATTATTCAAAGGGCATAGGTGACCCAGGAAAACGAGAGAGAAGTTGGGCTCAGTCAACATACAGCCCAGCCTACCCATAATGCTGGAAGGTTGCCTTGAATCAGTCCATAGGAGGAGTCCACAGTCCTTTCCAGGACACACAGGTCATTTCTTTCCCAACACCAAGAACATGAAACTCTCTCCTTTTCTGGCTGGAACCATGGAGGCTATTCCAGAGAAGAAAAAGAAGATTGCTGATGTGTCAGAAACCCTTAAGAAAAAGGTTCCTGCTCTGCCAAAAACTCTTAAGAAAAAGGTTCTGGCTGTGCCAGAAACCCTTAAGAAAAAGCAAAAGAATTTCAGAGTTGAAGGTGAAGCGCCTGAGGAAGACGTTTGCCCTGAAGACACTTCGAAAGGCAAGGAGGAAACTCATCTATGAGAAGGCAAAGCACTATCACAAGGAGTACAGGCAGATGTACTGGACTGAGATTCGGATGACCAGGATGGCAAGGAAAGCTGGAAACGTCTATGTGCCTGCAGAACCAAAATTGGCTTTTGTCATCAGAATCCGAGGCATCAATGGAGTAAGCCCATAGGTCCTCAAGGTATTGCAGCTTCTTCGCCTTCGACAGATCTTCAATGGAACCTTTGTTAAGCTCAACAAGGCTTCCATTATCATGCTGAGGACTGTGGAACCGTACATTGCGTGGGGGTACCCCAACCTGAAGTCAGTAAATGAGATCATCTACAAGCGAGGCTATGGCAAAATCAGTAAGAAGCGGATTGCCTTGACGGATAATTCCTTGATTGCTCGGTCTCTTGGTACATTTGGCATCATCTGCATGGAGGATCTAATTCATGAGATCTATACAGTTGGGAAATGCTTCAAGGAAGCAAATAACTTCCTGTGGTCTTTCAAATTATCTTCCCCACGAGGTGGAATGAAGGGGAAGACAACTCACTTTGTAGAAGGTGGAGACGCTGGCAACAGGGAAGACCAGATCAACAGGCTTATTAGATGGATGAACTATGGTGTCACCCGTGATATTTTTGTAATCTGGTCAGTCACAGCTTGGCAAATTTGGAAAAAAAAAAGGCTGGGCGGTGGTGGTGCATGCCTTTAATTCCAGTACTTGGGAGGCAGAGGCAGGTGGATTTCTGAGTTCAAGGCTAGCCTGGTCTACAGAGTGAGTTCCAGGACAGCCAAGGCTACACAGAGAAACCCTGTCTCAAAAAAACCAAGAAAAAAAAAAGAACATTAAACTCCTCAAGCAACTGCTTCTGTGCCTCTCTTGGGTCAGGAACTTGACTGGTGACATTAGTGATAAAGAATTTATCTTCAGCCCGAGTCATCACACAGCTGGTCCCCTCCAACCCTCACAGACGTCACTGTCACTTTCCTGGTGGGAAATCCTGAAAGGTCCCGAGGGGTTGGGGGGGACCCCCACTCAAGCCATGGGAGATCATGGCCACCCAATGACTCTTGAGACACCGATCTTGACGCAACTAGCAAGAGGTTTATTTCGGGGTAATCGACACGTTGAGGTCGAGATCCATAACCCGCACAGAGGCAGAGGGGCTTTGACCCCTATCTTGGGGAGTGTAGGATATTTAAAGGAAAAAAACCACAAACCAGGGGGAGCGCTGGGCAGTACCAGTGGAAAGTCCCAGTCTATTATTCAGTGTGTGACAAGGTTCAAGAAACAATCATGGGATAGTACATGTTTTTTTATCAAGACTCAATCTTATTCAACCATATCATCTAATTTGTGGTCAGCCAAGTTCTTGGAGCACAAAGCCCCAGAGCTAGCTGACCCTCTGTCTTGGCTCTAGTCTGCTAGAAGTAAAAATTCTATTAACCCTTCAATCCCACCTTCCCAGAGTACTGAGGACACAAGGCAGACTGGGTGTTCAGCTGGATCTCTGTGTCACAGGGACACATATGCAGGATGAAGGATCCCTCCTTGATGCTGACAGACTCATGTCCAGGAATCACCAGATGTCAGCCCTGGATGAGCCATTGTTCTCTGAGGGCATGTCAATGCTTATCATCCTTGTTGCTCAAGGTGTTGTTGGAGGAGAAATATAAAGAGAGAAAAGTTGAGAAAGATGTGGGACAGCACTGAGAGTGGAAGGGACAGAGCAGTGACTTTGACACAGACCCCACTACCCACAGCCAGTAGGATTCTGGGAAGTGTTCCTTCATGAGAGAAAACTCAGCTCAGAAGGAGGAAGAAGAGCAGAGGCCAGATGCCTTGCAGGAGGTGAAGTCTTCTCCTCAGAGAAAGGACAGTACAGTGAGAAGAGATATGGAGATGTCCTCTGAGCTTTGCAGCAAGAGGTGTACCCCCTGGCAGAGGCTCCTGCTCACAGGTAAGTCTTCCAGCTATCTGATTGTGTGTGAGAAGGGCATCTCAGAAACCCAAAGTCTTCTCAAGGGGAGATATCTAGAGAAGACTTTGGTTTCTGTTTGTAGTTACTGTGCAGAAGGTGCAGTGAGGGACAGAGGCTCAGTAGTAGGAAGCTCTGAGCAGATAGGAGCTGAAGAGGGAAGAGACAAGCCTTAGTTGTCCCTATTCAAAGTCAGTCACATTTACTGCCATGATCAGAAGCCCAGTGTTCCCATTCATGACAGGGTGACTCTCCAAATAGAAATCAAACCTGGGAGGTCCATCGAGATGGCTCAGTGTGTGGAGACACGACATTCTGAATTCATTCCTCAGCTCTCACAGGTTGGTTGGAGATACAGACTCCTGCAGGGTCTTCTCTGCCCTCCACACAGGTGTGTGTCTTGCACCCACAGTGCGCACACTGAGACACGTGCCTTCCCAAACTCATGCATTCAATACAGAATTATTAAATCACACCTGAATATATTGATTGACGTATGATCCAGTCCTGGGATCTTTGTAGTTAAATCCATGGAGACTTCCTTCCTTCCTTCCTTCCTTCCTTCCTTCCTTCCTTCCTTCCT